AGGAGGAAGGGAGGAGGAAGAAGGGAGGAGGAGGAAGGGAAGGAGGAAGGAGGAGGAAGGAGGGAGAAAGGAGGAGGAGGAAGGAGGAAGGAGGAGGAAGGAGGGAGAAAGGAGGAGGAGGAAGGAGGAAGGAGGAAGAAGGAGGGAGGAAGGAGGAGGAAGGAGGAAGGAGGGAGAAAGGAGGAAGGAGGAGGAAGGAGGAGGAGAAAGAGGGAGGAAGGAGCGGGAAGACAGAGTGGAGACCCACGCACTAGGAATCATGCAGAAGACAGTCAGACAACGGGTAGAACAAATACTAAAATTTACAGTTAAAACATCTTTCCTGAAATACGAGAGACCCAAGTCCACACATTTAAACTGCACACAACGCACTCAGGAGATCAATCAGTCTGCTGGTATCATGGCATATTCTAGAATAAATTTTTAGGGTTTAAAAATCTCTTAACATCCAGGCAAAAAAAATCAAGTTACAAATAGGGACATAAAATCAGACTGTCACCAAGCTTTTCTTCAGCCAAACGTTATGCCACCAGGCAATGRGAGAAAAAAGACATTTAAGACGCTTAGGAAAAACTGGAGTCAAGGATTCTACATCCGGAAAAGCTGATTTTTCAAGTGTTAAGGCCACAAACTTAGGAACAAGTAAGAAATCAGAGAATATTGTTTCCATGAGCATTTCCCAAGGAACCTACCAGAAAACAAGGAATACACAAACCGGGAAGGGAAATGACAAGCCCAGGAAGGCAGAGCRCTGAGCTAATGCGCTGGGTGAAGGCTCCTCCCCTGGACAGTGCAATCCTGTGACACCGGTCAGCAGGACAGCAAGACCTGCTCCTGAGCCACTTGAGCAGAAACAACTGGAAAGTGAGTCACCCGGGAAGGGCTCCAGGGCGGCCCAGGGGCCTGTCTGTTCCTCGGCTCTGCCCAGCGCGAGCGAGTAAGGGGGGAATTCAAACAGCCCACCCATGTATAGGTAAAGTGCTTCCACACGCCACAGCACAGAGGCCTGCAGACCCCAGGAGGGGCACAGCGTGGGGCTGAGGACTCTGAAGAGACAGGACCCTGGCGGACGCTGAGCCGCTGGTCACAATGCTCCCTTCCCGCTTCTTGCCGGGAGCAGGCCTGGTCCAGACAGAGCCTCAGTCCGGAGCTGAAGTGTGATGTGCCCACACCCCAGACTCCTGCTTCTTTAAGTTAGAACATCCACCAAAATGGCCTGCCTCTGAAGGTCTGGGTTCTACCTATAAATGTTGTAGAAGTAGCCAGTGGGAAAACCAGTGTGGAAAGGGTATTTTCAGATGATCCCTGCCCAGGTGGTAGAAGAAGACTAATGAGAACAGGTGCATGCCAGGACCACGCCAGGCACAGGGCAGCAGGAGAAACTCGAGCTAGAGCCRTGGGAACAGGAACCTGCAGGAGAATGACTGGAGACACAGCTTACATCGGATCAAATCAAACACGCCATTCTGCTCTGCATCATCATTTTATGTATCATTAATAAAGAAAGCCTGCTGCCAATTAGTGACGAAATGCAGGAACAGAACAAGAGAGACTTCCGTAGTGAAACTGAGACTATATTATAGAACTGACCCTCTTATGACACCTCATGAAATTGGAGTCTCAGAACAGTAAAAATCAGCAAAACAAAACAAAACAAAACAAAAACCTACACTTTAGGCAGCCAGAAAGTTGTGCTCCCAATTACAGGGGGCAGGGGTCAGCTCATATCAACCAACTCTCCCAGCAGGTMACAATGATAAACTCTGGGCAAAATATGAACAAAACCACCAGGAGGCCCTGGGGACAGCCACCAGTTGGAGCCCACTCTGGGAAGATGGGATCAGGGCAGCAAGTGTGCGTGGTTTGGCTGCAAGGGCCGCCCTGGCTGGAAACAGGCCGAGGGCCTAGAGCTGCATGTGAACCCCAAGGTCCCCGGATTAGCAATCAGAAAGCAGCTCGGGCTGCCAGGGCAGGGGGAGGGAGGGAAGTGCCCAAAGAAGAGAGCCCAGGAGGCCTCCGACGCCTGTGGACACACGGTCGCTGCCACYTCTGCCGGTGGATGGGCAGGCAGCGCTGAGCTGCCCGGCTAAGGAGGGGACAACACATGGCAGGCATCGTCCCCAGGAGGACCTCGGGGCTGCAGTCAGGCAGAACTTGGCCCCCACAGGAGCACCATGTGCAGAGAGCACATGGCCTCTGCAAGGCCATCAACAGACCAAACCTGAGCGGACACAAATGTTGGAATTAGCAGACAAAAATTTTAGAGCATTTTAATGTTCTTAGAATTTTAAAGTAACGGTGTCTGAGAATCTATGCTCCTGATGAACGCAGATGAAGACCTCGGGGAGCCAGGGTGCCACAGCCGCACACTGCGAGTGGCTGCGCAGGACACAGCACAGCACAGCAGCACAGCCAGGGGCAGGAGGGCCGCACTGGGAGGTGCTGGGAAAGTCCTGCGCCTCACAGAAGCCTCCATTATCTGAGGGCGGACTCGGGTTGACAGAAGGTGCATATCGTGAACCCTAAAGGACGCTTGATGATGAATGAAAGGCGTCAATAGAAGAAGTAATGCAGAATAGGAAATGCTCGGTTCACCCAAACTTTTTGAAATTAACCCAAACTCTTTAGGAAAAAAGGCAGGGGCTGGATTAGAGAGAGAAGTGGCATAACACAGAGAAGGAGAGAGCCCACCTTGGAAGAAATGTAAGTAAAGATAAAAACACAAGCCAGGCACGGTGGCKCACGACTGTCATCCCAGCGGCTCAGGAGGCTGAGGCAGGAGGATCCTGAGTTCAAAGCCAGCCTCAGCAACTCAGCGAGGCGCTACTCAAAATAAAAAAATACAAGGGCCAGGGATGTGGCTCAGTGGTAGAGCASCCTTGGGTTAAATCTCTAGTCCTCTCCCCCACCCCACCCCCCAAAAGAAAGATASAGAACTTCTTACTCAGATCCAAATTCGGTGAGATTGAGCTCAATGGCGAGACAGAAACACAAGAYGAGGAGAGGGGCCCGGCTGTGGGCCTGAGGAAGACCCAGAGCCGCCAGTGCACCAGGAACAACAGGAACAGAATAGACACGGGCGGAGCCACAGTAGAGATGAAGACTGAAGTGATCCAGGGGTTACCGCGGAGGAGGAGTGGAGAGATGTGGGCAGCAGGACAGCCTGTGCCCAGAAGTCACAGTCCAAAAAATAAAGACTCATCCAAAGACATATTGCTTAAAAAAAAAAAAAAAACTCAACATGAAGGAAAGACTCATCCAAAGACATATTGCTTGAAAACATCAGAATGAAGAGAGAATTGACTTTACAAACTAAGAGCGCCCTGTGTTCTAGAAGGCCACACCGAGGGCAGGCGCTGAGGCCTCCCTGGCCATGCTGCTGAGGTCCAGGGTTGAAAGCTGTTTGGGCAGCTGGCAGAGAAAGCCCGTCACCAGCCAGGGGACACACAGGCCTCTCTTTAGACACTCAGCCCCAGCAGGCCACAGACCAAAGTCCCTGACATTCTGAAAGGGAAAAGTGTAACCTGGGGGTATTGTGTGTGTGTGTGTGTGTGTGTGTGTGTGTGTGTGTACGCACCCACACACACGCATGCTGAGGCACTGGGGTGGAATCAGGCCTCACAGGTGTTAGCCAGTGCTCAACCCCTGAGCCACACCCCAGCCCTTTCTATTTTAACTTGACGCAGGGTCTCACGAAGTGAGACTAAGAGGCTAGCCTTGGATTGGGATCCTCCTGCCTCAGCCTCCCGAGGAGCTGGGATTTCAGCATGTGCCACATGTGAATACTGTGTTTGTCATTTCCTTGTGTTTTGTTGCAGTTTCTAACTCTCCTGATCCACTAAGGTGAGAGATAAATTCTTATATAAAATAGCATCTACCTGACCCCGTTTTCACAAATGGAGCACTTTTTCCTGTCTCCTATCTACTGCACTCTCAGGAGGGCATTCTGGGCAGCAGATGGGTTTGGTGGSTAATTTCAGTCTTCCACTCATCTGCATTAGTTCCGGCCTCACAGGGCCGTGGGGCTATGAAGAGACGATAGGAGACTGTGCTTGGTGAATGCCTGGCACGGTGGCTGCACACTGTCRAGCCCTGGAGGCCTGTGGTCAGCATGCCTGGTGAGCTGGGTTAGCACACCAGGCTGACACGACCCACCGGTGGGACAGGTCTGAGGGTCGCGGAGGCGTTCAGGGAATATCTGCTGAAAGGAATTCAGTTGAAGCCAGACAGAGTGACCAATAAGCCTGTCACAGGTGATAAGCCCCTGAGGCAAGAAATCAGTGAAAAGAAACCAGATTAAGTCCAGGAAAATGACCAGCGGCCAGGAAGGGACGATATCTGCTTCATATCCTCACAGAGCCACCTGACGGTTAGGGCACTTCAGCAGTGGGCTGGGATGCAGGCCCTCAGAGGGCAGACGAGGTCACACATTTACCTGGCTTCACTGTGAACTACTCTGCCCTTTTGTATTGAGATTTTTCAAATTAAACGAATATGTGTTCATAATAGAAAAAAAAAACTTTTGAAAATACAAAAGCCGCAGAAAGAAGAGCTAATACTGCTCAGAGGCAAACCACTTAAAGACCATCTGTGAGCTGGAGACGTTCCCAACCCTGTGCGGATGCACGCACAAGCCCACGTCATCCCAACTCCTAGCTGCACCTTCCTCTATGGTGAGGCACTCAGCTATCCCCATAAACACGGCTCCGTGGCTATCTTTATAGATTATGCATTTTCCATATTTGAAAATATTTCCTCAGAAGAGATCACCAGAAAGTATTTAGTTATAACTATCATGCTGAAGCACACTGAAACCTCTTGCTATGTACTGAAAAAATCCTTACCTTGATTTCCCATAAAATATCTAAGGTTCAGGTCATTATTTATGCCAAGGTTCTTCAAAAAAACATTGTAATCCACTGCAGTATCTTTGTCAATGTCGTAGTGTTTTGAAAACCTGAAATACAAATGTTCTTTAGAAATCAGACATTCTGATACAACACATCTGAAATGAAGAAAGTGGTTCCTAAGGGTTCCTCTACAGGGGTGGGCAGTAATTTTAGTGTCTGTTTCTCGCTACAGCCAGAATTTAGAAGTCAACCCTGGAAGCGTTACTGTCAGATTCCAAACACRCAGCTCCTCTGAAGACCACACCCGCAGCCTGGGCCTGGACACACAATTTCCTGTGGGACAGCATCTAGGACTGGCAGGAGGGTGTGGGGCCATGCCCCACCCCTGGACTGCAGGCCCAGGGACCTGGGCAGTGAGCCGGCTGGCACGACATTCCGTGACCAGGGAACCCAGAGCAGGAAGGGGTGCCAAGGAGCGGATCACTTCAACAGAGAGAAACCGAGGGCCAAGGTGGCACGTGGTYTCAAAACAGGGAGCAGTGCTGGGGCGGGGGCAAGCTTTTCTTGAAATTTCTACGGTGTTTCCACGTGGCAAGAGAATTTTAAAACACGTAAACCAYGGTCCACCCCTGAAATGCAGAGAGAAATGGGATGTGTGGATTTTTCAAAATGGATTTTCTATTATTCAAATCTGATGAATGTTTTTCTAGATAATTTCTGGGTTATTACATTTCTAAAAAATTGACAGTTTTAAAATGTTTGATTATATTATCTYCATGTGTTAGTTTCCATAATTATCTAATTTCATGCTGCTTTCTAAAAATTTAGTAATCATTACTTAAAATATGTGTTGCTTTTCTGTTTTCCAGATTGAACAGAGCGCGGTGTTCCCTTCCGTGCCTGCTCGCCACCTTGCCGAGCCTGCCTCTTGTGCTAATCAGACACCTATCTCGAGAGATGGCGGCTGCCATGTGTCACCACAGAAACCCCCTCCACAGCCCCTTTCCTCCTCAGCCTCCATCTTGCAGACACAGGCTGTGAGCTCGAGCACCGGAAGGAGGGTCCGTGGCCCCCTCTGAGTCCTGCCCTGGGCGAGGAGCTCCAGCCAGCCGGCCAGGCTGTGGAAGCGCAGCGCTGCTGGAACAGCCTTTGCTCTAGCAGCAACCTGACCTGGGCATCCACGCATCTGCTCAGTCACAGGACACAGAACCCCGTGGGAACGTGTCCTGCAGGCCAGCCCTGGCCATGGAAGCCTCAGCCCTGCTCAAGAAGCGGCATCCGCACAGCTTTTCACAAGAAAGCCGGGAAGATGGAACCACTCCTGAGACGCAAGCACGGGGGCCACTGGCCAGGACCTGAGCTCTGGGCTCCGCAGGCAAGCCGCCTCGTGGAGTGGCCAGATGGAGGAGGAGGAAGACCCCGGTGAGCCACAGCCTCTCCAGCCTGGGCCCCTGGGTGCAGAGCCTTAGGCTTAGCACAAGGTCTCCAGAGCAGCTGACCTTTAGGATTGCTCCTCTCTGCTCACAAACCTCTTTGCGGAGATTCAAATACTCTGGCCTGGAGGGTAGTGAAGGGCARGATGGGGTGGGGTGGGGAAGGAAACCGAAGTCTGTTGGGTTTTGAGATAGTCCTGGGTAGATGTAAAGCTGGGTGGTTGGTCCATCTCTGGCCTCTTGTTTTACACGGGCTGGACAGTATTCTACAGCTAAAAGGAGCCATCCATTAGGGGCATTGGATGTTTACAATCATGACATGGTCCCTACGAAGGAAGCACCCCCTGTGAGCAGGCAGATCCCAGCACTCCACACACCCTGCAAAGCCCACTTGGTCCCCACCCTGGCAGATGAGCTTCTTGGTACTCAATCGAAAAAGAAAATTGAGTTCCAGGGGCCCAGGAGTGTCCTGGGGTCCTGAACTAGGGAACAGAAAGCACAGGCTGACCCCATGTGGGTCAGACGTCAAAGCCTGGCCATCTCCAGCACACGAGCGCCCAACCTGCATCTTCAAAAGGAAGCAGCTAGATAAAAGGATTCAAGAATGCCTGGTTTCTTGCTCCAAAATTAAAAAGACAAAGTTAATACGGAAGCAGCGTCTTGAGGAAGAAGTGCATTGTCAAGCTTCAATAAGGCGAGCATTAAAGCAATTGAAGAACGGCTCCTTTTAGTCTCCGAGCTCTTGGTCTATTGTGTGAAGTTTCTCAAGCCTTATCGTGAAAACAGCATTGTTTTTGAGGCTTAAAAAAATCTCAAATAAAAATTTGTAGAGTTCTTTATTATTCAATACTTAAGAGATGGGGAAACAGACAGTAACATTTTTTATAGATTTACTAGGTTGGAGACTGCGGTGCCAAACACAAGGTTTATTGTCAAATAAAACACTGCTTTGTTTTTTGATTGCCTGTTTTAGAAGAGTGCTGTTCTGTTCTATAATTGCATGCACAAAATTATTTAATTTGTTTTGTTTGGATCTTATTCTGGGCACTTTCCCAGCCGGAAAGGATGTAAAAATTAAAACATCTATTATGTCTTTTATAATATGAGGTGGGTTATAAAGAGGAAAAAAGAAGAAAAAGCCTTCACAGGAGTGGGAAAGACCCGTTTTTCTAAAGCCTCCTCGCTGTTCGCCCTGCAGTGTCTGTGCCCAGGGCAATGCCCCTTCCGCTGCCTTGCCCTGGGGGCGGATTGCTCCACTTCCAGCACGGAGCCTGTCTTTGTGAGGCTTCCTGAGGCTGCTCTGGAGTGACAGCGGCCAGCTTTAATGACAGCTTGTGTCACAGTCCCCGCTGAGATAATATGCTCCCTCCTGTTGCAAACTGCCTGGAGGGCCGGCCGCCTGGGCCTGGGTAGCAGGGAGCCCACACACCTAGGCTTCCCTCCTCTAGGAATACACTGATGGTAAAGCCTAAGCACGGGCACTGTGAGGTCTCCAACAGCAACTGGTGATAAAATAGGACGGACAAAATGGCACACTGTGATGGAAGTTATTTCAAATGTAGGAATTATTTCTGGAATTTTCCATTCAACATTTTTGGACTGTGGTAGCTAAAACCACCGGAAGGGCAGCACCCAGGAAAGGCAGGAAGAGGGTGCCTTCCCAGCGGGGCTCTCACAGATAAGCCAGGCCAGGCCACCCTCCACCAGCTCCTCTGAAGGACCTGGAGCCCACCGGAGGTCCAAACGCACTCCCACGCGCGCTGCACAAGTCGGGAGCAGGTGGTGTGGCTTTGACACGGCGCTAGGCCCACTCCCTGCCACAACCCACCCCAGCCACCATCCTGCAAGGACGATGACGTTTCTGCCATGACCTCCAGAGGGAGAGCCATCAGGGGCAGCTGCTGCTTCTCCTCCTGACTTGGGGCTTGGAGTGAAACCCAACTGTTCAGAGCAGAGTGAGGACGGAGGACGTGGCGCCCCAGAGGGCAGGGAGGCGGCTGGGGAAGGAGCGGCCTGTCCCCCTGTTCCAACCTGCAGGCCCTGCCCCAGGGTGCTCGGGAGGGAGAACCAGCAGGCGTTGATCTGGGAAATTTGCAGGGAGCTTCAGGACCCAGTAGAAACACCCAGAGAGGAGGTGGGCGGGGCCCAGCCACAGTCGGCTGTGCGGCTGCGCAGTTCCCAGCACCTCCACCTGCCCGGCGCCTCACCTTGCGTATTCCTCATCCGTCATCTTCAAGCAGAAGGTCTCCAGAAGCCGCTTCAGCTCCTGTGGCTGAACCAGCCCTGTCTTGTTAACATCAATGAGCTTAAAGGCGTTGGTAATGGTTTTCATGTTCCAAAAAACCTATATAGGAAAAGTGATTGGAGAAAAGTCAAAAGAGCCAGTGTTAAAAACCAAAATGGTAATAAAAAAGTGAACGTTTTTTAATACTTCTTGTAAAATAAAATGCTTTCAAAGATTCACAGTGGTAGGCATTGGAAAATGACACGTCTATGGAAAAAGACACTTTGCATTTATTGAATGTTTTCAAGGCAATTTTCTCAGTAAATGGTCTTAGTTAAAAAAAAAAACTTTCTGATGTAAAGCAGTAAGTCTCATACACAATTCAGTCTCTTTTAAGGCAGTAGGAAAAATCTTTTTTGTTAATTGATGCTTCTAAACTATGTTCTGGCATAGATGGACTTGTAGGATTTTTAATTTTTCACAGCCATATGCAAACTATTTTTACTAGGACCTAGAAAATATAACTGTATAGTTCAACCCCTCTGAAATTTTTAAAGATATTACAGAAAAGTTTTATGGAGCTCTTCCCCAAATCTGGCAAATGATATGCACTGGGCACGTGACCGTGCATCTGGCCTAAGGGGCTGCAGAAAGGAGCGGCCTCTGTTCAGGGGGCAGCCTCCACCCGGGTACACCAGAGCCAGCTCCAGCTCTCGGGCCACCCTGCCAGCCCACGTGAGGCAGGCACCACTTCCTGTTTTCACACTTTACCTGTTTGCTTATTCATTTTTGGCAGTGCTGGGGTCCAAACCAGGGCCCTGCTCATGCTAGGCAGCGCTCTTCCACTGAGCCACACCCCCTGCTTTCCTGCCCATTAGTAAAGAGGGAAACTGAGGTTCAGGGAGGCTCCATGAAGAGCCCATCCCGTGGCTGGGCAGCATGACGCTGCTGCAAACTCAAGTTTACCTTTTACCCCACTACGCTGCCAGGGATCGGAGACATGGAAACAGTGTTATGCCACTGCCTGCCACCACCCACCCCAGCCACCGTCCTGGAAGGACCATGCCGTTCCTGCCATGACCTCCAGAGGGAGAGCCTGCACACGTGACCACGCCCTTGTTCTAGTCCCTAGAGACCTCGGTCCCCTTGTGCCCAGGCAGTGTTAACCGTGAACAGTCGCTTTGTACCCTCCACACACTTTAGGGGACAGTGGGAAGGAGAGCTAACAGCAAAAGCCAGCCAGGGCTGCTGGCCTTCGGAGGAGAGCAGCTTCCAGCGGCCAGGAGCCCTCCTGTGGGGGGGCCAGAGGCAGTCCACATCAGCACTGCGGACCTGCAGGCGGGGCGGGGAGGGATGTGGGGTGCTCTTAGGGCGGGGGCACAGTGAGGAGCGAGGGGTAAGGCTGATCCGATCCCGGATTCCACATCCCCTTGCTGGATCCAACCTGGCCCTCCTGGAGGAGTGCGGGGAGTGGCTTCAGGGTGACAGCTTTGCTCCCTTCTCACCCACACCCYGTTTCCTCCCCAGACCTCCTCTGAATGTCCCCTTGCTGTCTCTCTTACCAAACCTGCCAGCAAGAAAGCCCCTGCCGCTCCTCCTGTGGGAAAGCCCCACCTCAAGCATGAGGGACCAGGAGCTGGTGGGGACAGTGGCCTCCTCCTGGAAGCTGTGCCTGCACCCTGACCGCGCCTCTCCTTGCTCTAGTCCTGGAGACCTCGGGTCCCCTTGTGCCTAGGTGGTGTTAGCGTTGCACCGTCACTCTGTCCCCCCACACACTCTAGGCATTCACAAGGGAGAACCCCGACAGCCGCCTCTCAGCCCCTCAGCTCCCCGCCTGGCACCTTCATTCTGCAAGATGGCTCCTGGGCTTGGCCAACACCCTCTCCTCTCCAGCTTGCTTCAAGTACCCAAAGCCCACCAACGGGGCCCCACCAGGCCCTGCCCCTGCTACTCCGCCTCCCCCACCCCCACCCCCCGTCCTCACTTCCCCCAGAACCTGTGCACCTGTATGAGCACTGTCCCTCCCTCCTACTCTCAGACCCCAACCCTGAGTAAACACAGTTCCCCAGCTTTCCAAGCCCCATCCAGATGGCTGATGTGGCTGGGGGGAAAACACGTCACCGAGCACTTCCCTGACCCTAGATGCAGACCACTGGCCCTGCCTGGGTGACCATCCTCCACCACCACTGTTATGGGCCAGGCTATATGGGCAGTGACCAAACAGACTCCATGTTACCCTGAGACTCCATATCATGTTAGAAATGCTTCTCCCGTGGGAAAGCGCCGCCTCTGTGCCCATTAATAGTTACCTAGCAGAGCACACTTGGCAACACAAACAGCAATTCCTATTCGATGGAAAATTGTTCTCTTTGGTTTCCATTTTTCTGGGACAATGTACCTTGCAGAGACTGATTGTCTAGACGTTAGTAACCATTCTCATTCTCTAACGTGTACTGAACTAGGGTCATTTTGACCCCCTTCCCTTCTGCTTGCTTGCTGCTATGCCAACCTGGAGAGTCCTGTGGGAAATACCAATGTACCCATTGCATTGTCTCACTAACTGCCCAACCCAGCTTCTGTACCTGCTTGCTTACAGCTACGTAACCCCGATGTAGGTTAGGCATTTAAATATCCTAAAATGCTCAAGCTCAGGGCTGTTCCTTGCAGAAACAGTTATGGATCCTGTGGGGAGCAGTCGCTGGCTGGCTGGCTAAATAAAGACTCTTCAATTTGCACAAAACTGGGACTCAGTGTGTTTTCTGAGCGCCTGCCCCACAACACCACAGTCCACATACCAGCTGCCCAGCTGTTCCTGGGCAGGCCCACCCCTGAGCCACCCCACACCTTCCTCACTGTGGCCTTAACCCCCCACTTTCTCATCCTGCCTCTTCCTCTCCACTGACTGGCCTGCTTCTTGCTTTATGGAGAAAACAGTGGGCAGGACACTCGTCTGTCTGCACTGTCCGTCTAACCCTTCCAATGTTGGCTCCAGAAGAGCAGAGCTTGCTCCCTGGTTGGTGCCCAAGTAGAGTCGACACTGTGGGCACTCAGGAAATGACTGCTGCGGTGAGTGGGTGAACGCCCTCTTCCCACCTACTGCGGGAAAAGCTGCAGGAAAAGCTGGGGAAGCGCCCAGACCAGGGTCTGCCCACCACGACTGCCCCCTGCATGAAATCATGATGACCATCAGTGTGATAATGGCAATACTGCCATCACTGAGTAACTGTCCATCAGACACAGAGCCCATCTGAATTCCCCACACACCTCTCAACCCGAGCACCACAACCCGAGCACCTCGGCTGGCCCAGCCTGGATATCAACCTGGCCCTGCCAAAGGCAGACAGGGGAAAGGCCCCAGCTGGACAGGGCCCACCCCTGCTTGTTTCCCTCCACCCAGCTGCTTGGACTAACAGGCGGCTTCAGCCACAGGGAGCACTTGCTCCCACCACCAAAGAAAAATCTCAGCACCCTGTCCACTGCCAAATCCGCTCTGCGTCTTGTGGGAGACGGAGGAGGACAGGAGACGGATACTGATTTAAAGCCCAAAAGCAGCCCATATGGATCTCCAGCGCCGAGAGCCGAACAGCGGCAGACCTGGCGCGGCGCCCATGCCCACCAGAGGTCCGTCTCCAAGTGCCTTATCATTTGTCAGACTGAAGTTTGGCAGGACGGGAAGAAAGGGGCTGCAGATGGCGAGGCTCACCCCAGGCAAGAGAGTGAGGGCCATGGAGTGCAGGACAGGTCCATGCCCGGGCGGGCGGGGCAGGAGAAATAAGGTGGCTGGTGGCCAGGAAGGGTGACCCTGCCCCGCCCATCCCTGGGCTCCAGCCACAGCCACGCTGAACTCCTGGGAACTCACAGGCTCGGGGCTCTCCCCACCTGGCCTCCCTCCTGCCTCCTCACTCTGCTCCGACTCTCCCTCCGGCACCAGGCCCGCTCCACCCCACTGGCACTTCTGATCTTCTCCCTGCACAGTGTCCTGCTGCCACACCAGGTCTCCGTCACAGGCCACTTGCTCACAGGGGCCAAGCACTCCTTCACCCCTTTGGGGCCAGGTGCTGCATTTTTCTTCCTGCACTAACCCGCACCTGGACCTTTCCCAGGTTTCTCAGCTATTGAGACAGGACCTTGGGCCTGTCCGCTGCTCTCCCTCAGGCCTAGAGCTGCCTAGAGAGAGGGACTTCTGGGGGCTGGACATCCTCTACCTGCTGCCTGGACCGCCCTTCCCTGGTGCTGCCACTGGCCACCCTGGGGCAGGACTTGGTACCTTCTCTCCTGGCTTCCCTAATTACCTTCCCTGCTTGACCTTGCCATCTTGGTTTATTGGGTCCTGACCTTGGTGACCAGCGCCCTCCCTGCCTGTCTCTGCCCCTCCTGTCTTCCCCGTCTCCACCTTCAGTCTGCCACCTTTGGGGAAGAGTGTTCACAGGCCAAATCCACCGGCAGAGAGGCCCGTGTTCGTTTTTCATTGCTGTGACCCAAACGCCTGACCAGAAATTTTAGCGAGGAAAAGTTCATTTGGGGTTCATAATTTCAGAGGCTCATCCCCCTCTGGGTCCAAGGTGAGGCAGAACATCATGGGGAAGGGTGTGGCAAGAGCACCGCTCAGCTCATGGGCGCCCGAAGCAGAGAGATAAAGGGAGGAAGGGGCTGCAGGGACCATGACCCCTCTCGGAAATCCTGAGATGGTGATGCATCAAACTGTGAGACCCGGAAATCAAAAGATGCCAGTAACGTGGAGGGTCTACCCAGGCAAGCTGCTGGCCATGGAGACAGCCAGCCCAAGACAGAGGCCACGGGATTGTGCGCAGCAGCAGCAGCAAGGCCCAAGGGGCGGGCCTCCCCAGCCCCGTGGAGAGCACTTGCAGGCAGCCCTGTGTCCTAGAAGCTGCACAGAGACTATGGGACCTGTGCGCCTGCTGGGTCTCAGTCTCGTTTTGGCCCTCCTTTCTTCCTATGCCCCGTTCCTCCCTTTGGGGATGGAGTGTTTACTTGGAGCTGCTGTATCTTGGGTATATGTAAGATGCTTTTGATATATACACCACCCGCCCCCCTTCTCCAGTCACATCCACCTGCCCACAGTGACCACCCAGTCAGCCCATTCCAACTAGGAGGGATGA